TCACCACAATCAGACGAGAGGTCCACCTATCCATTCCAACCACCGCCGACTTCATCCGGATAAGCTACAAATCGCAAAACACGAATTCGAACACATGCTCGAACTCGGCATCATCCGCCCTTCATCGAGTCATCGGTCATCACCCCTACATATGGTACTTAAGAAGTCTAAAGTTGATTGGGGACCCCGTGGTGATTACCGTTCTCTCAACAACGCTACTATCCCAGACAGGTATCCCATCCCACATATCCACGATTTCGCAACTACCCAATGCCACACGAACATCTTCCCCAAGCTCGATCTCAAACGAGCATACTACCACATACCCGTAGCCCCGGATGACATTCCCAAAACAGCCATCACAACACCGTTTGGCCTCTTCGAATTCACGCGTATGCCCTTTGGTCTTCGAAATGCAGCCCAAACGTTTCAACGTTTCATGGACGAGGTTTTACGTGGCTTACCGTTTGTGTATGCCTACCTTGACGATGTTTTAGTCGCTAGCACCTCCCCAGCTGAACATGCAGCTCATCTCAGAGCAGTGTTTGAACGTTTTTCCACTTACAACATACGTTTGAACATTGACAAATGCTTATTCGGTGTTACTAGCCTGGATTTTCTTGGCCACCACATTGACGCCACAGGTATTTCACCATTACCCGATCGCATTTTGGCCTTAGAGTCATTTCCCATGCCCACAACTATCACTCAACTTCGTCGTTTCATTGGTATCATCAACTACTACCGGCGATTCATCCCTCACTGTGCAGATATTTTGAAGCCACTGACCGATTTACTTGGCTCCAAAGAGAAATCTGTTACTTTGCACCCCGCCGCCACTGCTGCTTTCGAAAGAGCCAAGCACGCCATTGCTCAGGCCACAAAGTTATCTTTCCTCGATACTCACGAGAGCACAAAGCTGATTTTGACAACTGATGCTTCGAATGCTGCCGTCGGTGCAGTGCTTCATCAAGTTGTTAACAACACACCTCAACCACTAGCGTTTTTCTCGCAGAAGATGCAGGCTGCCCAAACGCGTTACAGTACTTTTGGTCGTGAATTACTCGCAATTTACCTTGCTATTCGCCATTTCCGGCACTTGTTAGAGGGTAGATCGTTTACCATTCAAACCGACCATAAGCCACTCACATACGCCTTCAACGCCAAGCCTGATCGATATTCACCACGCGAGATACGCCATCTGGATTATATTTCACAGTTCACTACCGACATTCGGTACACTCCAGGTTCGGACAATGTCGTCGCAGACGCCTTATCCCGTCCTGACATAAACGCTCTTCACCCTTCCACGCAGTTGGACCTAGCCAAGCTGGCGAACCTTCAAAACACTGATCCTAATTTTTTGCCTATTCTATCGTTCCCTTCATTTCAAGTCTCTTCAACTCCGTTACCCCTCCAATCCGGAGCCATTTTTTGTGATATGTCTACCGGATCAGCTCGCCCAATCGTACCCGAAGCTTTCCGACGCGTTGTTTTCGACCACTTCCATGGATTTTCTCATCCAGGAATCCGAGCAACCAGGAAGTTGATTAGTGCACGTTTTGTATGGCCCTTCATGAATAAGGACCTGACATCCTGGGCCAAACAGTGCATCGCCTGTCAACGCACTAAAGTAACTCGGCATACGAACTCACCTATTGGTTCATTTGCCGTTCCTGATGCTCGGTTCACACACGTCCATCTCGATATTGTTGGTCCTCTTTCCCCATCAAGCGGTTTCACTCATATCCTTACCATGATTGATCGTTTTACCCGTTGGCCAGTAGCTGTACCCATTTCGGATACTTCAGCTGAAACAGTTGCTTTTTCATTTTTGCAACACTGGGTTAGTAATTTTGGTATACCTTCCACCGTTACTACGGATCGCGGCTCACAATTTCAGTGTAATCTCTTCCGTGAGTTTTCTACACTATTCGGTTTCCATCACATATCGACTACCGCGTATTATCCCTGTTCCAACGGTCTGGTTGAGCGTTTCCACCGATACCTCAAAGATGCATTGACTGTCCAAATTAACCCATGGTCTTCTTCTTTACCCCCCATTTTGCTGGCTATTCGCTCCACTATTAAGGAGGATCTTCACTGTCCCCAGCCGAACTAGTATGCGGTACAACTCTACGTCTACCCGGTGAACTAGTTTTTCCTTCTGGCGAACAGCCCGAATCACCCGTTACATTCGTCTTCCGTCTGAAACAACACATGTCCGAACTTCGTGCGACACCGACCAGACGATCAACGTGAACAGAACACATCTCAGCCGATCTCCCTTCTACACCTTTCGTGTTTCTCCGACATGACGCAACGAAGGAAACCACACCAACCCTGTTATGATGGCCCCTTCAAGGTTATCGAACGTCGCTCCAAATACTTTGATTTAGAGAGAAGCGGAAAGCGTGATACCGTCTCCATTGATCGCCTGAAACCTGCCTACACTGAAGCACCCACGACCACATCCAGCAATCCCGCTATCCCAACAAAACTCACACCTACCCAAGATATCCCTCCCGCCAACCTCACTGCTTCCACTGGACGCTCCGGACGACGCGTCCGTTTCCCTCAGCACTTAGCTGATCACGAAACCTGAAGTGAGCAACTTGTGATTCGTTACCTTAGTTATTCGAGCGTTTTCCCCTTTCATGGTCAACGCTCTGGTGGGAGAGTTGTGTCCCGTTTTGTACCTTTATTTTACTTCCATTATAACACTACGTGTTTCATCAATTGCATAATCGTCTTTTGTTTGAATACGAAAAACTACAAAAACGCGCACTTGTACAATTTCACAAAATACAAGCGTGGTCACGTGCTTCGACTCTCTCTTCTGATTTCGCTCGCGCTTGCAGCGGTCATTCGCGAGTCTCATCTACTAACTCTGGTATCAAAACATTTCAGACATCTTCGGAATCTATTATATGTGGGAACTGTTCAGAAGAAGACCTCTGGACCAACATAATTGGATTATTGTTTATTTGCTGACCTGGGCCAACGACGAACTATTTTAAAGAGAACAATTGTTAGTGAAACTGTTCCATCTGATCTCTTTATTTTTGTTTACCCGACCTAGTGTAATTATTTTTATTTCTTTGCCACACACTCCTGGTAAACTAACTTATTGGGTTGTCAGACCACTACACTGTTAAATCCATAGTACCGTAATGCTACCACTCTCGCTTTTGTACACCAAGCTGGCAATGAAGCCCAGCACGTCATCAATTATCCCATCAACCCGTCTTGATTGCCCACTCTAATCTGCCCAACCTGTTTGAATCTATCAGTAATAATAATGTTGATCCGTTACTTGTGGGTGAAATGCCGTCATGCATGATCATACTGTTGTGGTCAGAACAGAGGCATGACTGGCAGGGTTTGTGGGTACAACAGGGTGAGCATTATCTAATGTGGGCGTGGTCCCCACTTAATCAGTACGGGTAGGGAAACACAGATACTATGCGTTTTTTGCAGCAAATATCGAGCAACATCAGATCGTTAGGATTTGAAGGTGACGTAATCCCAGAGGCAACAGCGGTGCCTTTAGATTTTAATTCAGTTTGACCAGATGGATGACGCCAACTTTGCTGCTTCACCAGATCCGATGTTCTGGTTACTTTTTTTACCGTTTTCACTTTTCTTCTCATTTGTCAGGCAGGAAGTCTCTTGTTTTGCTCCCCTCTCACGTCACCTTCAACTCCCAACGACCTGATCTTGCTCGATACTTGCTGCAAAAGACGCATAGTGGCTGTGCTTCCCTGCCCGTGCCGGTTTACTGGGGGGATCACGCGTCTTGCGGAGTCATCCTCATTCTGATTGGCTGAAATCTATATGGAGGGAACATTCGAACATGACGACATGGCAAATTCGCGGTTTATGGTTGCCCCTCTTGAACAAGGAAGAGAATTTAACTGCGGTTGTATCTGTCAAAAATTTACGCCGTTGCCAGTTCCTCAAACGTAATGAAGGCGTACAGTATATGATCCCCAGTAGTTTAGCAAAGGTTGTTTGTGACAAGTGCAATCGTCCATGTTGTCCCTAAAGCTACCGGCATCTCCAGTGGACGATGATATTTGTGATTACTGACGGTAAAAAAGCGATTATTCAGGACGGCCCACATTTAGCAGTTAACGCTGGTGTATTGACTGTTTGCATTCGGCGTTGTTTACCTGTTATGAAATGTTCGTCATTCGATTAAAACGAATAGCCTACATGTAATTCTATGTTACCCTGAATGAACACTTTGAAAGCCATGTATCATGCGAACTGTGTTAAGTAGCTGCAGGAACCGGTATTTTCACTGACCACCCTGACTCTGGTTTATAAAAACGGAACTAGCGGTGCATCCTTCGCAGCCAACAGATTAACGACAGTGCCGTAGCTGATAACCGATTTGTTATTTCTGGCACTCCCCCGTTTAGCGGTAAGTGTAGTGCATATATGAGGAAAGGCCCCCATCAGTTAAAAAATGCAGAAATAGCGGAATTATTGAAATACGTGGTGATCGTCGACTGCTATTCTCGATTATTTATGTAAGCACTGGTGGTGTGGAACTTCGTTTACTGCACAGCATTCTTCTTATTTGTCGTCCATATAGATGGGCGTGAATCCATACCTCCAGCGGAGCGCCGCTCTCTTGCCTTCAAGCGTGCTTGTTACGTGTTTGATGAGAACGAGTCGCATCCTTTGAAAATTCAGCACGCCATATGAGTAACATGAAGGGTCAAATTTGGACGACAGATTCAGAAGATTAGAATGAACATGTCGTGGAGGCAGATGGGGCCAGCTCGGTAGCTTGCTCGTATTTGCAGGCAATATAAAGGCTGGGCGAGTGGGTACAGTCGAAATAGGGAAGGAAATAGTTGTGAGTGTGCTATCCAGCTGGATACGACAGTGCCGTGGCATCATTGGCCTGAATTACATCGGTTTCTGGGCAGCCCCATAACGAAAGTCACTTTTAAGGTCATTGGGTTGGGATGTGCACTTCTTAGAGCAGCGGGATTTTTTCAGGCCGGTCAGAAAACTAAGTTAGAACGAAGCCGATATACGATCACAGGTGTTTTAGTTCGTTCAAGGATCCCTGCAGATCATAGGCATAGCGACCACTGTGTACTGACCTTTGTAGAGCAGCGGTTTTCAGGCCGGTCAGAAAACTAAGTTAGAACGAAGACGATATACGATCACAGGTGTTTTAGTTCGTTCAAGGATCCCTGCCTGTCATAGGCATAGCGACCACTGTGTACTGACCTTTGATCTCATCTGTTATTGGGCCAGAAATCCCAAATCTCAAACGTGGTTTCGAGACTTCTGCCGTGCAGACTTCTCAGGAATGCGCATCTTCCTTGAACAAGTCACACTGAGACCAGCTCCGGTGGAAGAACTATATA